AGAGAGAAAGAGAGAAAAAGAGAGAGAAAGAGAGAGAGAGAGAGAGAGAGTTGGGAGGGAGGGAGAGAGGGACGACGGAGGCGGGAATTGTTGTCCAGCGGAAAATGCTGACACACACACACACACACACACACACACACACACACACACGAACACACTAACACACTAACACACACACACACACACGCACACACAAGCGCACACACACACACACAGACTCACTCACTCACGCACTCACACAATCTAGATTGGAATTTTTTTACTTTCGTTTTTTTTTGGGGGGGGGGGGGGGGGGCTGTCCGGAACCCTGCCCAATGGTCATGCCCCGGCCGGGCACCTAGGCGTGTATCCGAGCATAAGCTGGGTGCTCGGGCGCCCAAAAAAACAGCTTAGTTGAAAAACTTTTTACAAATATTTTTTTTACTTTTTGTTCTTTTAAAGTTTTATTTCACATTTTTTACTTTTAAATCGAGCTTGGTTGGGAATTCGGGTACGACTCCCAGGCAAACGTTGTTTGTATTATTACTCTGCACAATGTACTTTTTTTCAGAAGTTTTTTTTTTTTTTTTTTTTTTTTTTTTTTTTACGTACGCGTACGCACAATTTTGGGTTCGTACGTGTACGCCGATGTCGTAGCAAACACCCTTACAAGGGTATTTGCCGTCCTTTTTAAAGGTCACACTGGGTGCATCCTTAATCAACGTAACACACTGATGAGGCAAATCCCGCCAGGGCGCTCACCTCGGCAACCTCACTCCTGGCGAGGGTCCGAGCCAAATGCAAACGAGTTAGAGAGTGTGGGGCACGCATTATTGCGCTTCACTATGAGATGGTCGTTAGTCCGTAAGCAATTCCAAGCCGGCGGAAGGCGCCAAAGCCATAGGGCCCGGTTACTCCCCCTTCTGTAGTTGTTATTTTAACTATATTTTTGTAAATTGGCCTTACTATGCAAACCAGCTCGGCCTCCGGCGGAACACATCACAAGGTGATAAAGACTTTACCTTGCGCACACATGGGAAGATTGTGTTTTGACGATGCGGAGAGAGGCACGACTTTTCAGCCCTTGCATGGGGAAAGTCGGGAGACTCGATGATGAATGAAGTGTCTCCGACGACCAGGGTACAAAATGTCTACGGCGTGGACAATGCCACGTGGTGGCCGTGAGTCTGGCCGGTAGGTCGAGGCAGCAGCCTGAATTGTGTTGGTAAGCCCAGTCACAGTGCCAATACTGTTTATATGGAAGAAAGTGTCTGCTTGGTTCAGACTTGGGCTTCGCCGTATTGATTACGGTACTGGACTTTCAAGCAACGGGTTTGGGGTTCGAGGCCAGCGAATGATAAAGGAGAAAAGGAGCACGACGGGCGTAGACTGAGGGGTCGAGGGTCTTATGGGACTATCCCCCTTGGTTTTGCCAAACGAGTTGGACTGGGTCCGACTGGCGAGACTAAGAGGGTGTCAGCGGGTCCTCGTCCTCGTCAGTTCTACTAATTTTGTTTTTGACTTGTTTTTACTTTTATTTTTATCTTTATTTTTCTCCATTCTTAAAGTTTCATCTTTGACCAACCAGAAAGTTGGCTTTGATACCGATGGTGAAGGAGTACCATAGAGGAAGGATAAAAATAAACTTTCGAAAGAGAGTTAAAAAAGTGCTAGGAATTAACGAGCATGAACTGGATGGAGGAAAGTTGTGCATCCCCGTCTAGGCAGGGTGAACGGCGACTGCGTTGTCACTCTCCTTGCTTGAGCGCAGGAGTTCATAAGAGAACGATGGTGTAGACACCTTAACATACATGAGGATTTGGTTAAACCAGTGAGATGGTTCCAGAGCCTAAAGGAGAGGTCGGCCAAGTTTGCATCCTTAAAATGGCAGATAATACATAGATGTTTACCCACAAAGGACTGGATAATAAATCACTCTACACTTGAACAAAGAGGCGTGGCGTTACCTTGGTGTATCTTCTGTGTACAGGCCTTTCCTAATAGAAAATTCAGAGAAACAATAGAACACATATTTTTGCAATGTCCAGGGGTTGTTTTGATGTGGTGAAGATGGACTATGTGTGGCAAAGGATAACAGGTCTGGATTGGCCATGGGACTGGAGAGCAATCCTTCTGGGACACTGGAATCCAATATTAATTGAATTATCAGTGTTCCAACAAAACTTCTATCGATTGGGCAGAAAAGCGGTGTTATGGGCATTGTGGCATAAAAGATGTGTAATAACAATTGAAAAAGCAAAGATGGACGGAAAGGAAACGGCAGAAGTAATCCAACAGTTTGTCCAAACAGAAATCAGAACCCAATGGGAAATGATGAAAGAAAGACTTTCACAATTCAAACAGAAAAAGGACATTAAGCAAAGAATTCTGAAATTCAATTTGGAATGGCTAGGGGATGCATCAAGGGAGAAACTGGGAGAGGTAACTTGGCCAGGGGGGGAAGGGGATCAGGAGACGTTTAAGAGGGACTACCAGATCACCTTTCATAACTGGTTTGACATCCAACATGGAGCTTCTTTGAGATCACCAGCTTGTTTTTCAGACCCTTTTCCTCAGTCAGGACTTGCCTTGGTTAATCTAGAATGGTTTGGGGGAGGGGAAGAAAGTTAAGGGGAGAGAATAGATAAGAGGAGGATCTACACAAAGGATGCTAGATAGATGATAGATCACTATTATTTGGCGGTCAGAATTCTGACTGAAGAGGCATCCCTAGGAAAGGGGATAGAAGGGGACACCTTGATCTATTATAAAAGGGTAAATTCTTACCATAGGCTAACTTAGGCAGGGGTGAGGGGTGGTACATCCTTCCCAAAGGAAGCAATCAATGTTGTTCACTCGGGCCTCCTAGCCATAATGGGGAGGAGCGTGTGTATGTTTCAATGTACTCATTATTGACTTCCCGGGGGATAGGAACCGGACTGTTGCTCCCCAAAATGGTAGGGGCCAGAACTGAGAAGTTCTG